ATTAAGCGGTTCCCGCTTATGTGGAACGATGATCTGTCGAAGAAACACAACGAGCATATGAGGATATGTTCCATATATTCGAAAATTTTCTTAAAGCGCGCATTTTGCATGCTCCACAAATTGGGATTCGTTATGTAATTTGCCACGTAACGAGCTTGCATCAAACGCAATGTATTTATGAACTACCAGAAATTGCATAATAATCATCCTGTTTATTTATCGTGTTTACTTTGACAATATCTAACATGGCATTCACATGGCGGATTATAAATCAAATATGATAAGAAAAAAAATGTATAAATATATTTGTAAAATAATATAAAGTTGCCACATTTGCAAAATACTATACAATAATGATTATATGGCATATTATTGTAAAACGATTTTTCAGATATTGTTAAATAAATTGATAATTTTGCTGCACCCTATACATAAATTGATCTACGATGGCAGCTGTGACTATCTACTTCACGCTCGAGATAGAAGAACGACTTTCGACATCGACCAATAAACTTGTCAAAGCTCCTCTCGATTAATTAACATCTCTCAAGACTTGACGAGTCGTGTTCTTAAAATAGATTCGCTGGGAGGTATATCTTTAATGGTTACAAATAATTATGCGATAACAAGCTTACATTTAATCGCCGTATAATGCTAATATGGATAGTAATCTTAGAGATAGTCATCAAGACATACACATTAACGTATACCTTTCTGCGTGATTGGCTGTCTCAATTTTCGTATTTAATATATAATATCAGAATTTTGAAAAATGACTTAATTATTTGTAGTTATTAATTTATAATGTATATATGTAGATTTCTTGGTATCAACGCTCAAAAAAAGATAATTATTGACCATAAAATAATAAAGTAAAGGCACTCGAGTAACTTTGAAGAACAGTATCACAAGCCCGGCTAGCTCAGTCGGTAGAGCATGAGACTCTTAATCTCAGGGTCGTGGGTTCGAGCCCCACGTTGGGCGGATTTAATTTTTGCTCCAAATTCTTATTGTATTTATATACAATATTAAAAAATATTTATGTATTCGAAAAATTATATTATGTATTCGAAAAATATATGTAATATTACATTTTATTTGCAAATAAAAGATTTTCCATCATTTTGATTTTCCATTACTTGTCCAAAAATACTATTTTTTTCTTACAAATTTTAATAAAATTTTTGTAACTAAATTTCAACTTAAAATTTTATTTTGCTTACCTAATGCTATATAGTATTTATATAACAAAATTGGCTTTTATTAATGTTTTATATAATAAGACTGATCCTCATAATTATAATATGTATTTATGCAACTGAAATCAATCATTTTCTACAAAGCAGTAGAGAGTATTTATTATAAATATTATAAATATATTTTAAAATTTGTAATGTATTTGATACATTCTCTCATACATTACATACATTTTTTCACTATTTTTATTATATATTTTGTATATATATATATATATATATATATATATATGTAGACAAAATTACATAATTTATAGAAATTAATTCATCTATTAAATTGATTTTATAAATATTTGTCACTTTCATCGTTTTATGTAATAAACACATATTGTAAAAAAATTCATAATAAATGAATTTCTATTTCAACTTTTTGAAGTAACTTCTAAAAATAAGCATTAGCTTGTCTATTTTTTCTGTTCTATCTAAGTTAAATACGTATTGTGTGCGAATGCTCTTTCTATTGTTATTATTGTTTGATTTATCGTTTCCTTCTATTATTGATTTTCGAACTGCACTATCGCTAACAAGAGTGCATATACATAAATATACATAAATGTGATGTGTGAGTATATGATATATATGTGAATATGTGAATATCTGCAGTGTATTTAATCTTGAGTCTATGGGTTCGTTAAATAATCATGGAAATTATCTCTACGGATCGATAAGTCAATCTTACAATAACCTGTCAGGAAATCTTCTTTCAGATTTTCTAAAATATCTTAAAATATCCTTTCTAAATTCTAACAATAAAAGAAACATTAGTGTTCTTCGACATATTTTTTTAAAATAAACGTTTTTATCTTGAACTAAGGGATAAAGAAGAAATAAAGAAAAAAACATATCTATGTCATATTTATGGCTCCACCTAAAGCTATTCTTCGAATCCTTAGAAGCTATCCTTCTAGCAATGTTAATCAGATGAGATAATATATCTCATCTGAAGATAATCTATATTTCGTATTTAAGAAACATGTATTAAATATAAGATACTGATTCTTATCTTCATTAACTTAATCAAAGTTCAATAACAAATTGGCAGTTTAAATAGAAAAGGTTTTACTTTTTCATATATCAGAAAAAAAATATCTGAAAAGGATATCTCAAAATATTCCGATAATGACTATGTATGTAATAAGTGATAAGTGAGAAATAGTTTTTCAGTAGTAGTTTTTCAATAGTTCCAAAATTAATATTTTTCACAGTTTTTGTTAAAGTTTTAAAACTTCAATTATATAACAAAATCTATGTAATTTCAACACAATTTTTTATTTTCTTTTCAAATAGTTATTAAATAAAATTTAATTATTGAAAAATAATAATTAAACTTTAATTATTAATCATTAAAATTTACAAAGATAACAGCAAATGGCTATATTCTTTTACCAAAAAGATAAACAACAAAGTTTAGCTTTATCGTAAAATTCGTATTTACTAAAAAAAAAAAAACCGATTTTTGTACTATCTGGCTGTTTCTTTTATGTTCAAGACATACTCAAACAACACCGGAAATTCAACGAGTAGCTATAAAAGTGGAAGATGCGTCCAATGAGGAATGCGTTTGTCGCGTTGCCCGATGAGAGGTATCTCTCTATTATCTTCCTACAAGACGGGGAAGCGTATATAAGAAGCGGTCATTTCCACTTGTGGAGTGTGTTGGAGATAGTATCTTATGTGAGTGAGCGAACAATCGATGTATATCCAGACGATCGCATACGTACTTTTTTGGATTCGTTCCTTGCCTTAATCGTCGTATTTCTTCGGAATAAAATTGCACTTGTTATAGAATACCGGACTTTAATTTAACGAAAACTGCCTGAAGAATTCATATAAAAAAGATGTTGAAACAAGCGAAATAGGCAGATGTGTCGCACATAGAAATTTGCAATTTGTAACATTTAAAAATTAAACATCTAATTTCAATGTAGCATTTTACTTAATAATTTTATTTTTAAATATTATTCTTAAATTTCGTTTTGTAGGGAACGAATTGCGATAATGTTTTCCATATTTTCAGCGTACTCTCTTTTCTGTTTTTTTCTTTTTCTTTTTTTCTTTTATCTTTTATTCATTCTTTCGCCAAAATGTAAATTTTAATTTACGTAAAAGCGGCAAAAAATTAAAATTCCTTTTCATAAAATGGAACATAATTATTCTGTAAAATTGATTGATTTATAAAGATTTCTTTTTCTCCAACTCATTCGATTAGAATATTTGTTTATCATAATAAAGCTTAATCATTATATAATATTTTGTCGTACAACTTAGAAGATTAATAATTATCGACAACCATCCAGAACTTAAATCAATTCGCTTTTAATATTAGAAATTTCTTTGCTATTTATTTATAAGAACTTGAAATACATAACGAGCTTACCCATCGTAATTAAACTCGAGTCAATCGCAAGACGGTCTGCTTTCTGTTTGTAGAAGCATCCAGCGTACCGTTTGACCCACCAGGCTTTCGATTCCAAATAAGAGAGAATAGGAAAAAGAAGCCGAAGGAAACGAGACGTAGCAATCCGTACACGATCGGCAACAACAGCGGCAGCGGCATTCGTGGCACATGTATGTTGGTCGTGTAAGAAACGTCAAAAACCGTCTTGCTAAAAGGAGCTGCACACGGAAGGAGGTGGCGACAGAAAAGAGATTAAAAGAGAAAGACAGATCGAGAATAAAACGAAACAGCGGAGAGAAACCCTAATGCGAGCGCGCGTGCAAGAGGCGATTTCCGAGCGATTCATCTTCTCAACTTTACAGGTGTTCGCGCACGTCCTTCACAGCCTTTGTCACCGGCTCTCTCCTTTTCTTCCTACCGATGAGTAGTCCTCCCTGTCGTTCTTCTATTCGATGATCACGAGAGAGAGAGAGAGAGAGAGAGAGAGAGAGAGAGAGAGAGAGAGATG